CGGGGCGCGCTCAGGTACCGAGTTGTTACGCGGGGCGACTGGGCGGCACGGGGGGCAATGGCGGCGCCTAAAATTTAACAGCTTGAATAAAACGTGGCGGTCGGCGGAATATGCTGAAAATAAAACCACACATGGCAAGCGAGCGCGACCCGGCCTGGGCTCCCCTTTTCTATATGGCAATGCAGGTTGCCTTCCCGCGGCCTGTGCGTCTGCTGGAGAAGAACTCAGCGCTCCCTATGTCCTATTGTTCCGGTCGGAGCGGAGAAACTTTCAACGTTAAGAACCCAAGAATGAGGAACCCTTTTTCATGTAGATTGTGCTAGATGAGACGACTAGGTAACGTTAGTGAAACCTTCCCGACCCCTCCCGTGCAGTGTGCCGCAGGGAACTCCGGCCGGATGTCACCTTTACCTTCAGTAGGGGGGCGGTAATGAGATTCACTACATTCAGTTAAAAGGAAAGAGCGGAAAGAGAAAACTACATGTATGTGCTTGAATGTATGAATGCAGTAGTGCATGTCCTGGGGGCACCCGTACACTTTTGATAAGATCTATGGAGAGTGGCTATTGCAACCAATAAATGAGAGATTAAATTTACTTTGACACACTTTATTCAATACAAAAGGAAAAGAAAAATAAATTATACAAAAAATAAAACCTAACTACAAACAAACAGAAAATCTATGGCATCAGTTTACAGTACAAAATGATAAATAAATATTGCAATAGTATTGCGTTACAAAGTGGCACAAAGAAACTAGTACGTTTGTTAAGAATTTCAAATACTCTTCATAGGTGCTTCTATAAGCTATTATTAATTTACTAATTTGTAAATTGATTTTATACAATTTTGCAAATTCATTCACAACAATCTACATTTATATTTACAGGTCTCCTGTAACAATCTGTCACACAAATATATTTGTATGACTAGACGATGAAAGCTACAACTAATGTCAAAGGGTAAAAAAAAAGCTAATTTAAGATTACTGGTAAAGCTCTTTGGAAAGAAGCATTATATTTCAATACTAATTAGACCAAGCTAAAGCTTCTACACAAAACAGAACAAAAAGAAAAATAATAAGTTACGTTTTTTTACCCACTCTCAATTTAGTATATGCATTGCCACTCTAAAGGATATGAATTGACTAAAATAAATATTGAATGTTCGAAAAGCTTATCACTGGTGTAACCAGTTAGCCCAGAATAGCGCACCCGAAGTGCTGTCCACCACAGGCTGGCCCATTGGCTGACCTAGAGGCGGGGCCAACGGCTGGCCGCTATACATAATTTGGGGCCCAGGATGCCCGCCAGGGTGCCCCACGGGGACATGGTGGACCACATACTGCATGTGATGCTGTGGCGGGGGTGGCTGCTGGTGCAGACTCACCGACTGGTCGGAGACGTTGGTGATCAGAGGTCCCGACTGGTCCGGGACAGACTGACCCACTGACGGCGGGCCCTGCTGTCCTGGCTGCTGACCCGCCTGAGGGGTCGGCGTCTGCGGCTGTGACACGGGCTGTGGGGTCTGAGGGCCTCCCACGGACTGGCGAGCCTTGTTGCGGTAACCCTGGAACACAAAGCAGCAAGCATGAGCATAGGGACACACACACACACACACACAAACACACGCACCACCTCCACCGCGTTACAAACGTGCGCCAATAATGCAATCGACGTCTCCCCCAACCGCGACCCGCGACGTGCAATACTGTTATCGTCTTCACCTTCCTTCCAAACCCTGACATCTTCTGTGACACACCGTGGGGCCCAATAACATGGCCACCGTACCGCACTCAACGTTTTAAAACACGAGAGGAGCAAGTGTGTCACAAGCGAGCCAAGTCGCCCCGGGGACAAACAGGGAAGCGCGGCGCGGCTTTGGCAGAGCGCGTTGGGGGGCGCGGCTGGAGGGGCGACTGAGCAGCACCACGCCAGCCCCCTGGAGGGCCAATACGGCCCTAAGCACTCAGTCACTGTCGAGGACCCACCCCCTTCCTCCTCTCCTTCGGTTCATCCCCTTCCCGGCGATCCCTGACCTCTCCACGGGAGGGACCCTTGCCTCTCCCCTCACCCTCTCTCGGGCCCTGCCTGCGGCGTGGCTGGCCTCTGCGCCCCCGAACCCCTCGTGGCCGATGGGATGGACCAAGGGGCCGGGCTGTGCCGGGCCCGAGTCTGGGTCCGGGTTGTGGTCGGGCGTGACCAGCAGACGCGCGCGGTGTATACACAAACGCCCTCTCGTAAAGGGAAAATGGAAGGGGAAATGGGCAGATGAATCGGCAGAGGAAAATGGGAAGGGAGAAATGGGAAGAGGGGAGAACGGCAACGCCACGGTATAACAGGGTTGCCACGAAGTCCCAATGACCGAATATCCTGACATTTTCCTGACCAAATCCTGACGAAAAAGTGACTTCATCATGACATTTTGAGAACAAGTTGACAGTGAAATACCGATAGTTTTGATGAGTAAAGAAGAAAAATAGGGTATTTTTTGGAGGAAAAATATGTCAGAGTGGCGCACTACCACAGCGCCGCGCCGCCGGCCAAAGTAGCCCCGAGCATTAGGGCGATAACCGGTACTAACTATTTATCCTGACACTTTTACCCCAAAATCCTGACATTATCCTGATTATCCTGACAACTTTTGAAAGTCCTGACAAAATCCTGATTATCATGATTATCCTGACGCGTGGCAACCCTGTATAACCATAGGCGGGCCGAGCCGGGATGAGTGCGCTCTGGGGGCCACCTGGCCCGGCTTTGGCCCCCGCCAGCACCTAGGCCGGCACGCAGCGCCGCGCAGCGCGCAGCCCCAGGTTCCTACAGGACGAGGACGCTGCAAGGGGCACGCCATGTTCCCGTCCCGCTTTGTTCGATCGAGCGGGCTGCGGCTGGCGCGGCGTGGCCCGCTGCGGCGGGGTAAAGGAGGGCCGGACAGTTGCGCCGCCCTCGCCCCGCCGCGCTCCCGCAGCCCGGCCGCGCCGCCCCCCGGACCCACCAACTGGGTCTGCCTCGCCCCCGCCGCACCCCCGCCGCGCCCACCTCAGCCTGCTCCTGGGTCTCGTACCGCGGACCACATCCACCGCAGGCAGGGCCGCCGCCACCCCCACCCGCCCGACCCCGACATGCAATCTGCAAACTTCGAACACAACCGCCTCCGGCTGCGCTCCTGCACGACGGGCTCCTGCTGCTGCATCCTCGGCGCGGGGCGGGGCGGGGGAGCTCGAGCACTCGCATTGTGCTCGCATCCACCCGGACGCATTGTGCTGTCATAACGTCTAATCATCTGGACGAGATGAGATGAGATGAGGGCAGGATCAATACCGGGGCTGCATTCTCTCATGCCAACGGCCGGGCCGGCGAGCTACCGCAGGCTACTGCAGGCCACACGGGGCGCGGTATGAAATGAAATCCACACCCAGGCAGCAAGAGCACACCAGGTGCGCCAAAACTTGCCCAATTTCACGTCGAGAGAATAAGAAAGGGGAGGGCGGGGAAGAGTAGCGAAAATGCAAACCAAGCTCCGTCGGAGCAGCGAGCGCGCAGGCCGGGGCCCCGGGCGCATAGGCAACCCGCCTGCACGACTGCATTCGGGCTAGCCTACCCTATCCTGCGACGGCGCTGGACGACAACATTGGACCGGGTGTCTCAGAGCGGACGCCGCGCAGTGTTGCGGGTTTGCCTACTCAACTCCCTACGCCCGTAAGGCGCCATGGCCTGATACACCCGGTACTGGTACACAGTGCCCAGTCCGAAGCTTGCACACTGCACCTCGCTGCCTCTCACCCTTCGCCTGTCCGCCAGATCGGCCCCCCGTGGTGGGTGCAGCCTGCGCAGCGATGCAGCGGCGGGGCGGGGCGCGGCGGTGGTAGCCTTCCTTATCGCTGGCCGGCCCGGCCCAGCCATGGGCCCAGCACGGGTCGCTGCACCCGCACCACACTGCACCGCACCGATAACGTGACGTGCAACGCGCCGCAACGTGCGTGAGCGACAAAACAGGGCGGCGCAGCACAGTGTCCAGGACCCGCGGGCGGCCGGCTGAGGAGGACCGCCCAGCGGCCGCCCCCGCACCACCAGCCGGCCGCCAGCGTGTGCAGCAGCGCGCGGTTTAAAATTGGCCCGCGCGGCCGAGTGGCGCGGCGGAAGGACGCGGACGCGGCGAGCGCACAGCTTCCTGCTTCCTTACCTGCCGAGATGCGCTGAGCTGCCGACCACCACACACTATCACACAGACACAACCACACACTCTCTCACTCGCGGGGCGGAGCACACAGGCGTCGCGTCGCGGAGCCGCGCTGCGCTGCGTTTGGACGTGACGAGAACGAGACGGGACGGGCGGGACGGGCGCCTGCCTTGAGTCCACTGTGGCTGCCGATGCCCTGCCGTGCCGCCGCCCGCCCGCTCAACGCGCCGCGCGCCGCCGCTCCCCGCGCCGAGGGTTCGCCCGCCCCCTTCGGCCCCTTCGGCTCTGCTTCCCCCTCCTCCCCTCGCCGCCCGCCTCCTCCGAGCTGCGCCGCGCTCGACGTGCACGGGCGCGAGCGAGAGAGACGGCTGCGCCGTGCGCGCTGCGCGCCGCGGGGCAGACAGAGAGGGAGAGACGGGCATCGAGGCGGACGGGGCGCATGCGTACCAGGGCGCGGCGCTAGCGGCGCTAGCCAGCGCGGCTACACGGCGGCCCCTGCACGGGTACCCAAGGATCCAGGGAACAACCAGCAGCGAGTGCGCGGCTCAAACTGTGTCCACCCCCTGTGCGGCGGTTGG